ACGCTTTCTCAATTATTTTCTGGTTACACGCTAAAGATCTGCGTTGAAATCAGTGTTGTTCCTTGGAGCTGTCCCTTGGAAGATTAGCGAAAATTTGGATTGATGTGTTAGCCTTCTGATCCAATGGCAATGGCCCGTACGCCAGCGTACTGGACTAACAAAAACTGCCGGTCGTCCGTGCAGGCGGTTTCTCAGTCGTCTCTCTCCCAGTTGCGGACTTCGTTCCGCACCCCTTTTCTTACTGAGCCCCTCGCGCGTCCCCTTATCTCTAACAGACGCGAGCCCCAGACCCATTACAGGTCATTACTTTATGAAAGTTTCAGTTCAAGCTGTTCATTTTTCCCTCACAAAATTAGGATGTGTGAACTGTTTCTCATCTAACATTGCCATAGCAACAACGTTTTTGGACCCATTTTACCTATATTGCTGTTCTATGAATCGAATCTCTTTTTCGAAAACTCGTTTTTCAGTCCTTTTTTTTTTTCGTTTGTGAGCTTGCATGGGAGGCAGGGTGTGGAGGTGGAAAGCGGAGCGGGGGTACCCTATGTACCTCAAAGAGTATTCACTTAATAGCAATAAAACTTTTATGGGGTGTAGAGCGTTTAAAAAATTGTTTACTTTAATGATAATACATGACGATCACGACGTCACAGAACTTCAAAATGACGTCACAGATTTCAAACTGTCCTCCATCTTGGGTCCGCAAGCTTGGATTTCAAACATTTAAAAGGTACAAATCAAAAAAAAAATACATCTCCATTTCTAATTCAAACCATATAGATCATGGTTGGGAATGAATGTATGATTGATTCATAGATTTATAGATGGATAGATTGAATTTCCAATGATAAGTTTTCAATGATTGACTTTCCAAGGTTACTGGTCATCTTTAATCAAGGGCCTCATGAAATTAGTATTACAATGAATGCACACCTTAGATAGTGCCCCAGTCATTGAATTACAGTCCTCGTTCACTTCTTCGGCATTTTCATCAATTTAACAAATATATTCTATATTGCTGTGCTTCTGTTCAGTAAAATACATCACAAATGAGGTCAAAATGTGGTAAGGGCTAGAACAAGGAAGCGGCACATGAACCGTTAGGTGAGTGTGTCACTGATGTTCTTACCACAATTTGACGTCATCTGTGATCTATTATTGAACAGACGCATGCCAACGTAGAATCGATTTGCTTTATAAAACAAAGAAACAAAACTGAAAATTTAAGGACCATCTACACGTCTGTCCTCCAATAGATCATGCGTAAGAAAGAATCAAAACGCGAGAACAATACCACATATAATATAAAACGTTAGAAAACAGTCCTAAGAAAATACGCGAATTGATTGGTTAAAAATCGTGTTTCTATAACTCGATGGAAACACAGAACTAGCACGAGCTGTTGACGTTATGATGGCGCGAGCAAAGAGAATTTACACTTTGATAATCAAAGTTAAGAAGTTGTTTTCCTTTTTTTCGTCGCGGTGTTTCTAAAAGCAATACGAAACATGTTCTCCGTGTTCCTATCGAGTTATAGAAACACTCGTGAAAGTTTGGAAGAACTCGAAAAAACTGTGGAAACACTCGCCTGCGGCTCATGTTCCCACGGCATTTCTCGTTCTCCCCAACTTCCACTCGAGTTTCTATAACTGGATAGACACACGGTCCATGTTTTCTATTTCTAAACTGGTGATGTCTGGGACTATACAAACGGTTTTAATATGACACATTATTAATAACCAGCGCAATACAATACAAGCTCCATTGTCATCTAAAAACTTCCACATGCAGATTTATTACAATAGTCACACACAATGCCAGCAAAGATAAATTGACAAGAAATAATCACTTCCGTACGAGAAGTTTCTACAGGATATATATCAAATTATAATTCTGAATTAAATTATAATTCTGCTATAATACTTACTATAGGAATAATAATAACGAAATTTTCAGAAACATATCTCGATGATAATTCAAACATAAAGACTTATATTTAGACCTTAAGACGCTAGAAATTACAAAAAAGAAGTAAACTAAATTTTTAACCAAAAGCGACATTACTATATAACGTAGCCCTAGTATCGCAGATTTGCCATTGCATTGCACGGTTAAAGTGACCAATCACTTTTATAACACCATTGATTAAAAATAAGCACTTACTGCCTGGCCTCAAGGGAAACAGTGAGTTTTGTTTCCCAGAGACCCTCGATGTTGAGGGTCGAGGGGATCATTGAGGGTCGAAGGGAAATAAAACTCACTGTTTCCTGAGGGGCCAGTCATTAAGTGTTTTGTTACACCTCCCGACTCAAAAATAGAAAAATCCGCGAAAAAAATGATTTGCTTGACGCCTACGGTGGCTGTGCTTGCAGTACGAGCGGCAGTCAAACGGAGCTGTTCTACCGAAACGACACGTTTTTCTCACGATTTTGCGCCAAATTAAAAGCTTGAAGACACAAAATGTTTAAAATTTCCCCTTTCTTAATCTGATATCTTTTGCCGAATTATAAATCTTTTTTTTCTTGAATAATAAATTCCTTCTCTAGTGAGAAACGTTGCCTAATTTGACATCAGGCCGGCTGGCGAACAAATTTTCCGCCGTTTCAAGGTGCACGACCTGATCACGTGCGAGGCGAAAGTTCAACTTATTGTTTCCCTAGGGAGTTACTGAGTTTTGTTCTCCCTAGGGAGTTAGTGAGTTTTGATCCACGGTACGTGACACGTTCTCCTCCAATCGGAAAACGTTTTTGAGTTGGAAGGTATAACAAAATGCTATTCACTTGACTCTGAATTATAATTTCGTACTAGAAAATGGAAATGGCACTTAGGCCTATCAAGAATTGATTATTTTCAACACCTTTGTTAAAATCACAAGTAAATCTAACTTAAGCTTTCTCCTTACGTCCCCCAAGCATTAAAATTATCCCATTTTGGGCTGCTTTTCAATTTCAAAGCGACTAATAACTATTTGCTAATTTCTTTTGTATTTTACACTTACACAACAACTAAAATTGATTTATTTAAAACTTGTCCAAATTTGGAACTCGCTTTGGCAATGATTTGCAACAAAAACAGAAATACAAGAAAAGTACTTGAATAAGTGTCATATTTCACTCTCAGACAAAGAAGACCTCTGGATTTAACAGCTCTTTCCTTGAAAGAGACTCACTCAACTTCAGCTTGCATGACTTTTTCCCTCTAGCTTTGCTCTGACAGAAACTGTTCTCTGCTTGGAAACATAACGATGTAGCAAAAGATTAGCTTTTTGGTTGGTTTGTAGCATCGTATCATACACACATTGGAAAAAATGATACAGAAAAATATCTTACCTTATTACATGAAATATTCGCGACACGTTTATTTCGCGATTTTCAGGTGCGCATATTTCGCGACACTTAGATTCCGCGATTTTGCGAAAATTTTGTATTTTGAGTCACTTTAACTTCGCATTCTCGAGTAACCACCCATTGATTTCCTTAGCAATGTTACTTAATCATCTCCTCGAATTTAGTAAACCGACGTTATTAAAGGTAAGATAACGTTAAAAGTAACAAACGCGCAACGGCTGTACTATATGTCAACAGTAAAATAATGTTAGTCTCTTAACTTTCGCGTCATGTTATGTTCGGGACACTTATTGTTCGCGTCACTTTAATTTCGCGAGTTTTTTTGCAATCGCGCAATTAAACTGTCGCGAAAATTTCATGTTATAAGGTAACTAATTACCAAGGCGCTTTCTCTGTTCTTGATCATTCAGCATCTGCAAGAGAAAGACTCTTTTATTGCCAAATACTGGAGACCAAGAAGTCTGTCAAACACCTACCGTGTTTCTATCGACTTAAAGAATTCGGAAAACGAGAAATGTTGTGGGAACAAAAGCCGACAGGCAAAAGTTTCCACAGCTTTTTGTAGTTCTCCCAAACTTCCACGAGTGTTTATATAATTCGATAAATACACGCATTGGTATACCTACAATATTGCTTTAAGAACATCTGTAGAGAAATAGACTTTATGGTTCATGTTTAGGTTGCGCGCGCAGATGGCGGATCGTGCGTGACTACGTCGAGACAGTTTTTCGTATCTTTTTACACCCGCTTTCAGTGTTGCTTGCATAGCGACTATCTTTCGACATGCCATTTATCCACATGTTATGTAACCTGGCCTACGTAAAAAATGTAACCACAACTGGCTTCTTTACGGTCGAACTCGACTTTTAGCCATGAACGATGGATTTATTTGACATCAAACTAAGGCTAGGAGTATCAAGAAAACATTCTGTGAGAGATAAATTGACTGTTTTGAATGTTTACATCTTTCGAATATTTACTAAGCGGTAGCGGCCCAATTCAACCGAAGGTCACCATTGAAAGCCGACCGACTACACCAAAATCGTTTCAGTTATCTCGTAAATGGAAAAACTTAACAAGTCCACAACCTTCTTCACTCATTTGAGGTCAGGTTGAGGATATTTGTCATTTGTTCCGCTAATAACCGGAAAAATTGCTAGTTACACAGCTAAACGATCTTTCACTTGTTTACATAGAATGTCGAAAGATGGTCGAAAGATGTCGCCTATGCACGTAATACTGAAAGCAGGTGTAAAGATCGTCTGAATTCGTACAAGGGAGACACGCACCAGTTGAGGTCGTGCTTTTAATTGTTGTGTTAGATCCGTACTATTTTTATCATAAAATTTCTCTTTTGGCGTGTAAAAAGGGGAAATCTCTAATGATCAAAGAACTGCACGCACTCAGGTAATGGCACAAGCATTCACGAGCTGCGCACTTTGCACTCCCATAAAGGACGCTGCTCAGACTAACAATTAGCAACTTTTACATTAGCACTTTTTTATAACCTAAAACTAAATGTTACGTCCTTAAAGATTAGAAAAAGGTTTACTCACGATGCTTTCACTGGCTTTCTTCAAATTTTATGGTCACGTCATCGCCGATGAGAACAAACGGAGCCCAGTGTTTTACCGCACCAAACTTCTCCGACTCTCTTAGACACCTCCTAGCCAGGTGAACAGCTACACTTGCGCTACATCCAAGACTCAAATGCCTGTAGAAACTTTTCATAAACTCCATTGTTGCCTCGTCATCAATTGCCCAGAGTGACACGAGAACCGAGCGAGCACCAGCACCCAGGAAACACCTTGCAATACCGACCACACCCTCAGGCGTAACYTTACCTTGTGCACTGTGACAGCAACTTAGCACAACTAGCCTTGCACGCAGCTTCGCCGCTCGCACATCCGCCATTTTCAACATAAAATCTTTCTCTTCAAGGATCTTGGGTATCCGTGCGGGATTCGGAGCCAGAGCAATTTCACCAGTTTCCATATTGCCATGCGCTGCAATGTGTACCAAGGCAACTGAACCGATTCGTTTCAGCACCTCCTCTTTAGTTGCTTCATTTCCAATGAGAGGTACGACACCGAGCATTTCTCCTATCGTCTTTACTTCTTCTCTGGCATACGGCAAGGGCGAAAAAATGGCTTTCCCTTGCTCGTTTTTAATTTGTTTAACACATGGATCTCCCACGAGCAATACTCCACTGCTCCTGTGATAGTCTTGAGAAAAGTTCCCGATCAGTTTCAGAGTCGTCAACGAGGGAAGAATTCGTATCTTGATAGATTCACTTAGATACTTGAATTTATCATCTAAAAATGCAGCATACGGAGCCAAACATAAAGGACCGTCAGGGACAATGATCAATTCGTCGCCTTCAAGTAAGTCCGCAATGGGGGCAATGATACAATCATGAAACAAGCGTAAAGAATTGTTGTTGCAGGGTAATGATTTTTCTCTTTCCNCGTCAGGGACAATGATCAATTCGTCGCCTTCAAGTAAGTCCGCAATGGGGGCAATGATACAATCATGAAACAAGCGTAAAGAATTGTTGTTGCAGGGTAATGATTTTTCTCTTTCCTCGGTGAATTCTCTGTTGGGAGAAATTTTGTTTGTTTCCTTATCCAGAGAACGATTTTCACAGGCAACTCTTCCATGAATTTCGTACTCTTTAAAAACATCTTTTCTTACACACTCTAAGAAGGTAACAGCATCTTCACCTTCTATTTCTTTCCTCCTATACTGAGCTTCCCTGTCTTTGTTAAGTACCCAGAAATGGATTTTGGCACTTTCTAGTGCTAAGACCAGTGTTTGCATGAATATACCAGTTGACACGCTTGCGATCGTCACGTTATCTTCAAGTGAAACAATCGTTAGCAATTCAGAGTGATATTGCAACTTTATGAGATCCTCTAAAGCCTGTGCTCGTCCTTGCTCGACAACACACAAAGCCTCAGCAGTCTTTTGAAGCCTTAGCAAAGTTCTCCAAAGAGCGGTGTAAGCGTCTAGGCACCAATTACGATAAGATATTTTCCAATCATCTTCGGACTGAAGGAGAGCCCTCGTGTCATTGAACAATTTTACACTGGATCGGTAATAATCAAGAGCTATCGGCAATTTTCCTGATGATTCAAAATCGCGTCCTAAGCAAAAGCATGA